GCTCACTGCTGAACCACGCAGGATCGTGTGACTGCTTTTCCTACCTGGCTTTTGTTTTCCCTGGAGTTGTTGATTGTTTTTCTTTTTGATCACTTGTCACTAGTGTATCTCCTCCTTCGCTCAGGTATTCTTCTGGGTTTCAGTCTTGGGGCTGCTCTCCGTGGGCCTCCCACCATTGGCCAAATTCCTTTGGCTTCTCTTGGGTTGGGTCTTGGATCTTCTCCTGGGATTTGCTCCCTTGGTTTGGGGAGGGAGGCGCATCATTTTATGGCCTCCTGAGAACAGGTGTTTGGGATGTGCCCCTTTAAACAGAATTCCCATACTCCCCTCATCTGACTGCCTGCATGTTAACGCCACCTCATTTGCTGTCCCCTCCCTCTTCTGTCCTGTGGACACGTTACTTTTGCCCTGACAATTTGAGAATGAGTTGTAGACTTGGTGCCCCTTTACTCCCAAATACTTGAGCGTGACTTTGCTGCCAACATGGACATGATACTGTACAAAGATTGAAATGGGGGAGCTGATGTGGCAGCAGCGCGGCCGTCTGCTCTGACTCACTCTGACTTCCCTGTTGTCCCGGTAATGGCCTTTGTAGAACATCATTAAGGATTATTGGAAGGACCCCGGGACCATGTCTGTTGAGTCTCCCCTGGTTGAGAACCACTCGTCCATCTTCCTTATCTTTGATGACTGGCAGTTTTCGAAGAATGCCAGCCAGTCATCGAGTGCCCTTGGTTTGGGTACAGGGTACGTTTTCCTAACTTGCGGGTCTGAAAGTGCGTCTGTTCTCCTTCATTCCTGGTTGGGGTCTCGGCTGACAATTTCTGTGCAGAAGTCTCCCTCAGGATCAGACCATAGCCCTTCTGGAAGCCTCCGTGGTGAGTTCATCTCTCCCTCAGAGCCTCCCTCAGGCCAGGCCATTGGCCCCCCCGAGGTCTCCGTTGGGCCTGGGTCATTGCCCCTCAGGGGGTGTGTGGAGCACAGCTCCTCCGGAAGTCTCCTTGGGATTGTCACCCCCTGTGGGCCCACGTAGGAGGCTCCATGCCCTCAGAATTCACTGTCCTTCACGTGGAACCTGGTTTTTCTCTCCTGTCATGTTTAGGGTGTTTCTTTGTCCCTGGTCTTTTTTGGCAGACTGGTCACCTGAGAGCCCTTCCGATGGGGAAATGCGTCCTTCAGCTCTGATTGAAGGATTGGGGGGTGATTTCCTCGCTGCTCCTATCTCTGGGGCTCCTGGAGGGCCGCGCTGGTCCACTCCTCTCTTCGCAATCTTTCTGTTTTCTCCTCGGTCGATCCGTCCTGCTTTCTGGGACTCTTCTTCAGCTTCATGTTCTGCTCCTCTGTTGAGCTGTGTTATGGCTGACAGGCTTTCACCTCCAGAGCTCTTCCCTCTGTTGTTTCTAACCAGCATCATCTTTTGTGAGGCTCCAGTAACCTGCATCACTGCACCAGCTGTCTTCGTGAGGATATTAATAATAGGTTTTGTTTGATTTTTTTGAAAAAATTTCAGGCCGGGTGCGATGGTTCATGCACTTGGGGAGGCCAAGGCGGGGGGATCACTTGAACCTAGGAGTTCGAGACCAGCCTGAGGCAACACAGGGAGACCCTGTCTCTACCCAAAAAAAAAAAAAAAGCATTTAGCCAGGCATGGTGGCACACACCTGTATTCTCAGCTACTCGGGAGGCTGAGGTAGGAGGATCACTTGAGCCTGGGAGGTGGAGGTTGCAGGGAGCCAAGATCACGCCACTGTATTCCAGCCTGGGTGACAGAGCGAGACCCTGTCTCAGAAGAAAAGCGATAGAAAAAAAGTTTCCGTCTTGCATAACCTTTGTCTCTGGATTTTGGCCTCTGTGGCTGGTTTTGGCCTTTGTCTTTCAAATGGCACTGTTGTGGCTTCTGGGGATTGGAGGCTGGAGCGCCGCCTGCTGTGCTCAGGCAGGCGTGTGGTCGGTCTGTGGTTCGCTCTGAGGTGCACATTCCCTTCAGTACCCAGTGTCTTTCCTCCAGGCTGGTCACTTTCCTGGAGACGCCCCCCTCATCCAGTCCCATCTCCTACCGGCAGATCCTGGACGACCCTGAAAGGTGCCGGAATCTTAACATTCCTGAGCCTTGTGGGGCTTCGCAGCACAGTGTGGCTCAGGCCAGGCGCCCTGGGGACACTGATCTGGTTGTCACTCGTCCTTGTGTTCTTCAGCTTCAAACTCCCGTGGCTGCCGTCTTGTGCCCTCCCCTTTCTGTCCGTAGTAGGCCATACCTGTTCCATCCTCAGTTGCCGGCCGGGGCGTGGGGCTTGGGGCGTCCAGTCTGCCACCTTTCATTCCACCTGTCCTGCCTTTTTTGAAATAGGTATGTGTGTAACATATGTGAGAAAGTTTTCTGTATCCAGTTTTTTAAAAACACACACCAGTACTGTGTTTTGTTGTGTGTGCATAAACTCCGCGGCACTGCCCTGGCCAGTGCACAACCGCGGGGCTCTGCTTAATGAAGTCGGCGGCTTGTGCCCCCCTGGCCCATCCCGGCCCCGTGCTGGGAGTGATGCTGAAACGCCGGCCGTGTCTAGTTCGTGTCTCTGGAGACAATCTCTGCCTGGGGGTTAGGAGTCGAGAAGGGGAAGCACTTAAAGGGAAAGCAAGAAAGCCCATAGTTGTCCCCTTCCTTCAGTTCATCTGGAGGCAGAGCCATGTGGAATGCCAGCGCCTGGCAGGTGGACTCACCCTCACCTGCCCACAGGTAAGCCTGGCCCGCAGCGCCCCCTGGCGGCGCCCCTGTCTCAGGACGGCTCCTCGGCCCCATTGGGCTCAGCTGAGTGCAGGCCACCTTGTCCCCAGCAGGGAGAAAAGTGATAAAGAGTGGAAAGGGGGAAGGTATAACTTAAAGAAAAAATAGAGCAGGATAAACCAACCCTGAAGTTGTGGAGACGGGCGGAGGAGGAAGCTGAGTCGAGGGCAGTCACTTAGCTGGGGCTGTGGGCCCGGGCTCTGCTCTGCTAGGTGGCCTGGCTGGGCTCTCTCCGCCCTGGACTCCCTCTGCCTGTGGATGGGTTTGGGCCCCAAGGTCAGACTGCAGTTAAAGGGGCCACGTTGCAGGGTGGAGGCACAGCTGGGTGGCCCCAGGTCCCCAGGCAGGCAGGTGAGCTCCTCCTCCCCTTGCCCTAGGGGTCCCCTGCTCCAGGGCCTGTTGAGCTCCTGCTGGGAGCAGCCTCACAGGGCTGAGATGACCCAGCACGCTGTGGTGGAGCGAAAAGGCACAGCTTCTTCCTTGCGTGTTAGCCTCTGAGCAAAGGCCTTTTTATGGAAAGCAGCAGGTGTGGTGGGCTCAGTCCTGTGCTTCCCGGCAGGTGGAGGCGGCTGGTCACAGGGCGGGTGTCCCCTCTTTTCAGTCTCCTCCCACGCCCCTCTCTCCTCTTTCACCTCCTGTTGGGTCTCCATGGGCCACCCAGTGCTGCCCCCAGGTGGACACCTTGGAAGAGCCGGCTCTTTTGTGCCTGCTCCCCATGGCCCGTGGGCATCCTGTGTGGTGTGTGCAGGATGCCGCCTGGCCCCAGTCCCTGTTCCTCTGCTGCCACCCACCCCTCCCCACTTCTACCAACCACCAGACTCAGCACATCCTGAGCACGTGCAGGTGTGTGGACACAAGGCCTTGGGCCGCTTGATTTGGGAGTGCTCCAGAACCCCCTTGGGGCCACACTAGCACGTTCGGGAGGCCCTTTGGGAAGGAAACCTGGGGAATCTGTGGGCCCAGCCCCTTGCTGCTCAGGTGCAGCCAGGCACACGGGTCACCAGGTCACAGACAGGCTGAGCCCCTGCATCTGACAGGTTCCTGGCAGTGCCCATCTTGAACGTGGAGCGTGCTTGGCGGAGTGTGTGCCTGGCTGTCCCTGAACCAGAAGCCTCCATTTTGCCGGTTCTAGGAGCACGTGGTGCCTGCACAGAGACCCTGGCCCAGGTCTGGGAGGCCCACATCTGGCTGTTCACCTGAGTCACTTGAGACTGCTTTAATCTGGGTTTGGAGTCATGGCTCTGTGCACACACACTTTATGTGTAAGATACAGAAGGTTCAAGACGGGACTGGCCTTCCCTGTGTGGCCTGTGGGTCCGTCCTGCTGTTCTGCTGCATTTCAGCACTCCAGGGGTGAGGGCTGCGGGTCGCCAGCCCTAGGTCCAGGTCATGCGCGGTTCCGCAGTCTCACCCACCTTTCCTGCCCCCACGCCGGCCTGTGTTGTGTGTGGTTTCTTCTCCCCGTAGTGCTGTCCCTGCCCCTTCCAGACCCTTTCCTTCCCTCCCCCACCGCGGTTGGTGGCAGCCCCTGCAGGAAGTCTTGATGCCCCCCACCTAGGAGTGCCCTGGACCCCTGCTGATCCTGAGGGGGGCAGCTACCTGTGTCCCACCCTGTGTGGTTGCGATTTGAGGCTGTCCCCTCCAGCTGGGGGCTCCAGGGCCTCTTGTGGGGTGCCCACGGGGTCCTGACATCCTTGCTGTCAACTTGGCTGACCCTTGCTGCACAGATGCTCTGCAGTCAAGGGCCCTGGAAGCTGGAGGGTCCTTCAGGGTGGGGGCTGCTGGAGGCATGGGGCCTCCCTGTTTTCATCTGTGGGCTGAGATGGCCCTGCCGCTTACTGGCGAAGTCCTTAGCACAGGGATGTGTGAGTGGTTGGTCTGTGGTGGCTGAGGCCATGCATGTAACGACAGCTTCATGTACAGAACGGGCGTAGCATCCCAAATCTGGAAATTTGAAGTGCTCCAAAATCTAGAACTTTTTGAGCGCCAACATGAGGCTCAAAGGAAATGCTCATCGGAGCATTTCAGGTTTTTGGATTCGGGATGCCAAACCGGCGGGTCTAAAACAGATATCTCCAAATCTGGAAAAATCTGAAATGTGACACGTTTCACGTAAGGGCCACTCAACCTATATGAAAACTAGATGCGTAGCGGTGGCGGTTCATCCCGAGGGCCAGCGGCAGCCCCGCGTCGGCAGCGCCCGCTCACGCTCTCTCCGCAGATGCTGGACGAGAACCACCACCTGATCCAGTGCATCCTGGAGTACCAGAGCAAGGGCAAGACAGCCGAGTGCACGCAGTGAGTGCCGCCCGCCGTCCGCGGAACACTCTGGGGGCCATGCAGACTCTAAGCATGGAGGCCAGATACGTCCCGAGAGTCCCCCAGTGCAGAGGCCAGATACGTCCCGAGAGCCCCCCAGTGCGGAGGTCAGATACGTCCCGAGAGCCCCCCAGTGCGGAGGTCAGATACGTCCCGAGAGTCCCCCAGCATGGAGGTCAGATACGTCCCGAGAGTCCCCAGCATGGAGGTCAGATAAGTCCCGAGAGCCCCCCAGTGCGGAGGTCAGATACTTCCCGAGAGGCCCCAGTGCGGAGGTCAGATACGTCCCGAGAGTCCCCAGCATGGAGGTCAGATACATCCCGAGAGTCCCCCAGTGCGGAGGTCAGATACGTCCCGAGAGCCCCCCAGTGCGGAGGTCAGATACTTCCCGAGAGGCCCCAGTGCGGAGGTCAGATACGTCCCGAGAGCCCCCCAGTGCGGAGGTCAGATACTTCCCGAGAGGCCCCAGTGCGGAGGTCAGATACTTCCCGAGAGGCCCCAGCGTGGAGGTCAGATACTTCCCGAGAGGCCCCAGCACAGCTGCGAAGCGTTGCTGCCAGAACTGGGGTAGTTCCGAGGGAGGCGGGAGGAAAGAGCAGTGTGGGGAGGCCCGGGCCAGCCTCTGTGGGCAGCTCTACGGCCAACAGCCAGTGAGCCAGGAGACAGCACCTCCTCCAGGTGGGACCTCCTGTGACCCTAGGGCCTGACACAGAGGAGGGGTGCATGGCCAGTCTGCCACCCTCCAAGCGGCTGTCCGAGTGGCCATCAGGCTGACCTGGAGGTGGGAAGTAGGTGAATGGCCTCAGACACCCCTGGGTGTGAGTGGGGTGAGGGGACTGGGGCCCCACTGGTGTGAGGTGTACGAGGGGCCTTCCCTGGCAGAACTGTGCTTCCCCATTTCTTTCCAGGGCTTTCTCAGGGTCGCTGACTCTATGAAGTCTGCCCACTGCCTGGTTCAGCTGGACAAGGGCTCTGTCCCTCTCTCACCTTCAGGCCCCTGCCTCCTCGTGGCCTCCCCCATTTCCATTCTCTGAGCAGACCAGTGCCAGCTCCCCTTTAGCTGCTGCCTTAGAGCCTTTCCAGAGGTTTTGGCGTGGGATGGGAGCCTGCTCAGGGTTTGGGGTAGAGGCTGCCCTGCCGTCCCCACCTAGACCCCAGCACCCTACCACCTGCCTGTGTCCAGCTGGGCAACCAGCTGGCGTGTCCCTGGGTGTCGTCTGGAGTCTGTGTCCTCATGGGGTTTGGCTGGTTGTCAGACTGTGGTGTTCACACTTTACTTCTGCCTTGGATCCACCTGGGGACTCCGTGGTCCCGTCCTCGTGCCTCATGCATGCCCCGTCTCCTGCAGGTACCAGCAAATCCTGCACCGGAACCTGGTATACCTGGCCACGATCGCAGACTCCAACCAGAACATGCAGTCCCTGCTTCCTGCCGTGAGTACCCGCTGGGGGTGGTCCCCTTTACCCAGCAAGGACTCCGACACTGCCTAAAATCGGGAGTTGTGGGCATGTCACCTCAGGTAACAAAGATGACTCAGAGAAACCAAAAATACCACTAGAGTCACCAGAAATGGGAGTGTGGGCGGTGGTGACCAACCCCTCCTGACAGACAAGGGGTAACGACGGCGTCTGAGGTGGCCAGGTCGGAACTGTGGTTCAGCCTCTGTATGTATTGAAGGGAGGGAAGTCCCGGAAGAACCACTGTAGGAACGGCCGCAGCTCTCGGGTCGGGGGTGGGGAGAGATGGGATGGGGGCCCCTGCGTCTCCCTGGAACCTCTCCGGGTGCTTTGAGCAGTTGTGAACCATGCACATGCGCTGCTGTGGGTGAAAACAGAACTTAAAAGAGAACGTGCCCAGCACAGTAAATTCTCCCAATGATAGTTCAAATATTTTATTTTGTTTGATTTTTTTAAAATGCATTTTTCCAAAATTAAATTGTCACCGGGAGTGCCGTATCTCCTAGTGACCCTTAGTCCTCGGCAAGCGTTGATGTAAATGCCAGGATGCGTTTCGTGAGTAAAAATGTTAAACCCACCTCCATTGACCTGTCACATTGCAGTTCTTCACCCTGCAGACACCCGCAGGTCCTGGTGGAAATTTCCTTTTTTTGGCCAGCTGTAGACAGCGTGTGTGTGCATACCTCCAGAGCTGCTGTTTGACCTTGATCTGGGAGAGTGCTGAGGGTCACTGCACACTCCCTTCCGTGTGGTGTGATCCAAGGTGGGCATGGGGTGGGGGGAGTGAGGGGACGGGGCACACGCAGCAGGAGCACGGGAAACAGGAGAGGGATCCCTCCTGTGCCAAGGCCCTCGGCTTGGAGGGGTCGTGGACGGGGAGCACAGAGGCGCCGGCCAGCTGCGCCTGAGAAGGACAGGGTGCATTGGGGTGGACAGGGGAAGGGGTTCCCTGCTGTCCCAGGAGAAGGAGGTCCAGCTTTTCAAACCCAGGCATGTGTGGATGAACTCGATACTAGCAGAGTTCCGAACGCTCACCCAGACGCTCACTATGCCGTCTCCATCTGGGCCTGGTGCTCGGAGGTCACCTGGCTGTTGGGCCTGGTGCTCGGAGGTCACCTGGCTGTGACAATGGCTGTTGATTATGAACATGGACCAGGTGGCCATGACATGTGGCAGCAAATCTCAGGCGCCCTCTCATCCCTGGCCTGGCTTGTGGAAGTCGCTCTCCGTGAATTAACCGTTTTCCCTGGAAACTTCCTGTTGCCTGCAGCCGCCCACGCAGAACATGAACCTGGGCCCTGGAGCCCTGACTCAGAGTGGCTCCAGCCAGGGCCTGCACTCCCAGGGCAGCCTGAGTGACGCCATCAGCACGGGCCTGCCACCCTCCTCCCTCCTGCAGGGCCAGATTGGCAACGGTGAGTGCGGTGGGGGAGGAGGGCATTCCTGGTCACAAGGCCACCAAGGCAGCCCTTGGGCAGGCAGCTGCCATGCTGGGGCACCCCACCCGTCACAGGGCTGGGCATGGGGACCCACTCTTCCTGGGGTAGCCACAGGTCAGCTGCCATCGCCCAGGCTCAGGGCCGCAGCGAGCTTGCCATGCGGCTGGGATGAGCCCTTGCTCCAGATCACCTGCGCTTTCTGACACTGTCATACTCCATTCATTTCAAATGCAAGTTGCCGGGTTCCAGGCGGATTGTGTAATAAGAATGGAACGCTGCTGTCTTTGAATTAAGAAGCATGAGTAACATTTGGAGACTATTAATAGTAATATAACAGGCCGGGCATGGTGGCTCAGACCTTTAATCCCAACCCTTTGTGAGGCCTAAACCAGCAGATTGCTTGAGGCCAGGAGTTTGAGACCAGCCTGGGCAATATGGCAAAACCTCGTCTCTATAAAAAATAAAAATATTAGCTGGGTGTGATGGTGCCCTCGCATGGTCCAAACTGCTTAATACTTGGGAGGCTGAGGAGGGAGGGTCACTTGAGCTTGGGAGGGTGAGGCTGAAGTGAGCCGTGTTCGTGCCACTGCCCTGCAGCCTGGGTGACAGAGCCGGACCCTGTCTCAGAGAATAACAAAATAACAACAAATAAACAGTGCATCCTGTACATTGCTAGCATGTATGCTGCTTTTTTTTTTTTGTTTTGAGACAGAGTCTTGCTCTAGTCGGCCAGGCTAGAGTGCAATGGGCATGATCTTGGCTCTCTGCAACCTTCGCCTCCTGGGTTAAAGCAATTCTCCTGCCTCAGCCTCCCGAGTGGCTGGGATTATAGGCACCTGCCACCACACCTGGCTAATTTTTTTATATTTTTAGTAGAGACGGGGTTTCACCATGTTGTCCAGGCTGGTTTCGAACTCTTGACCTCAGGTGATCCACCCACCTCAGCCTCCCAGACTGCTGGGATTACAGGCATGAGCCACTGCACCAGGCCCCTTATTTCTTGTTTAGTCACTTAATCATTAATAGTGATGTTGATAGAATCTCTTCCCAAAATCATTTGAAGGGAAATTGGGGCGTCTTCACCTTCAGAAGTGGTGACCTGGCTCTGCAGCGCCTGACACCACTCCCTGCTCCCCCTGCCAGGGCCAAGCCATGTGTCCATGCAGCAGACGGCGCCTAACACGCTGCCCACCACCTCCATGAGCATCTCGGGGCCCGGCTACAGTCACGCGGGGCCTGCCTCACAGGGCGTCCCCATGCAGGGGCAAGGCACCATCGGCAACTACGTGTCTCGGACCAACATCAACATGCAGTCCAACCCAGGTACCTCCTCTGCCTCTGCAACCCCGGGGGGCCTGGGCCTGCCTCCAAGACCCTTGACACATGCATGTTGGATATGTGTCCCTGGAGAGCTGCCCTCTTGCTGGGTGCTGCGGGAGAGGGGCCCTTGAATCAGGGCTGGCCGCCGCCTCTGAGAGCTTCCGGAGGGATGGGCACCAGTGGGTGCACACCCAACCCCTCGTGTCCCCCAGCTTTGCGAGGGGTTGGGGTGTTTCCCATGGAGTCTCAGGGAATGCTTCAGGGAGTGGGGGCCACTGACCTTGGGTCTGGACAGAGCACTGGGCTCTCAGAGGTGGGGGTAGAGTTGTTCCCCAGGGAGGGAACAGCCTGGCTAGAGGCACCTCAGTGGAGAAGACAAGGGGCCAGAAGCGCTGGGCCAGAGGCCCCAGCCTTTCTGCAGGGCAGCAGGAGCCCGAGAGGGGCCATCCGCCATGGTGGCCACGTGTGGTGTTGGGCAGTTGAGAAGCAGCAGGTCCCCATCGCGTTCCATGAGCATCGGCCCCGGTCGCGTTTCGTGGGCGTCGGTCCTGGTTGAGTTTCTTGAGTGTTGGAGACACATGGACTTCAGAGGCTTAGTGCCAAAAAAGGGTGCCGAGGACCTCCTTAGGATTTTCTCACAATAACTGAGTATTAAGCGTTTGTTTTGGACATACTGACTCAAATAAAATGCACGATTAAAATGGATTTCACCTGTTTGTTTTTACTTTTTTGATGTGGTTACTAGAAACTTTAAAAAGTGTGGCTCGTGTCATTTCTGTTGGACGGCGCTCCGCTAGGGGCTTCTGAGCAGGGGACGTGTACGACAGGCCGGCGTGAAGGGCCGCGAGGTTGCACAGGTGCTAACGAGGGGACAGTGTGACCCCTGAGGCCAGCTCAAGGGACCAGGGAGAACAGGACTAAGGAGGGGACAGTGTGACCCCTGAGGCCAGCTCAAGGGACTGGGGAGAACAGGACTCGAGCCACGGCGCAAGTGGGATTGTCACGGGAGCTGTGTGTCCGAGGAGAGGTGGAAAGGTGGTGGTTGGCTGTGGAAGCCACTGGATCTTCCTGCCCAGGGGCTCTCCTTGTTTTCTGCACGTCGGCACATTTTCAAGTAGACGGTGTAAGCAGCGGGTCTGAGCATGCAGGGCATCAGTGCAGGCCTTTCAGGGGAGGGTGATGTTCTCGTGCGGAGCACAGGAAAATAACGAGGAACCTGCCTGGGCGCAGGAGGTAGTTGGGTGTGGGAGGGAGGGAGGGAGGCTTCCCGGGGTGATGTGGGGCCTCTGTCCTGTCGTGCAGTCTCCATGATGCAGCAGCAGGCGGCCACGTCGCACTACAGCTCGGCTCAGGGCGGCAGCCAGCACTACCAGGGCCAGTCGTCCATCGCCATGATGGGGCAAGGCAGCCAGGGGAGCAGCATGATGGGGCAGCGGCCTATGGCGCCCTACCGGCCCTCCCAGCAAGGTAATGCCCGGCCAGGCCAGGTCTCGGGCATGGCTGACCGCCCTGGGTGGTGAAGTGCCAGGCTGTGTGCTTGTCTGTGGGGAGCCTGGGGGAGTGAGGCTTGGGGCCTTGGTGTGGACACTGGGGGTGCGGGCTGGGGTGTGGCCCGCGGAGGGTCTGCTGTCCCCGAGGAGTCAGGGTTGGGGGCAGGGGCAGCAGTTGTCATTAAGAGTGTCACAGGCCGGGCTCATGCCTGTAGTCCCAGCACTTTGAGAGGCCGAGGTGGGCAGATCACCTGAGGCTAGGTGTTCGAGACCAACCTGGCCACATGGTGAAACCTTGTCTCTACTAAAAATACAAAAAATAAGTTGGATACAGTGACAGTGTGGGGTGTTCTCCTGGGGTGGGTGAGGCCGCTTAGCGAGGCCTTGGCTTCCCCAGCGAGCGAGGAGGTCCTCCAAGGGAGGAGGGTGCAGCCCGCACTGGTGCTGAATGTGGTTCCCCTGCAGGCTCTTCCCAGCAGTACCTGGGCCAAGAGGAGTACTATGGCGAGCAGTACAGCCACAGCCAGGGCGCCGCAGAGCCCATGGGCCAGCAGTACTACCCCGATGGTGAGCACTGGCAGCAGCCTGACCCCGCCCAGGACAGCAGAGCAGCTGCAGGGGCGAGGAGGGCAAGGAGGGTGTGGCCACTGCAGTGTGTCCCCAGTCGTTCCAGCTCAGGCTTGGGCTACAGGCAGAGCGGCCAGATGCCCTGCAGGAGCGAGGCAGAGGACGGGGTGAGCTGGACTGGCGGGGTGCCTGGCCTCTGCAGAGAGAAGCTGAGGCACACACCACTGCACTCGCCTCCACGCTGCCTCGCCTCTTCTTCCTGAAAGGATGTGGGAGTTGGAGGCGGAGAGTTGCAGCCCCCAGCCGTAGATAGGTGGAAATGTTCAAGAAGAAGCCTCCAGCTTCCCAGAGAATGCCCTGAAGGTGACGGCTCCACCTGCAGCACCCCCTCCTGCCCCTTCTCATCTCTGCATTTTACCTTCGTCACCTTTCAGTCTTTCCATAGCCCAGGGCTTGTGGAGGGGATGCTGAAAGTGGCTTGGCTGAGCACAGTGGTTCACACTTGTCATTCTGGCACTTTGGGAGGCTGAGGCAGGAGGATCGCTTCAGCCCAGGAGGCAGAAGCTGCATTGAGCCAAGATTGTGCCACTGCATGCCGGCCTTGGTGACAGAGCAAGACCCTGTCTCTAAAGTGAAAATAACAATAAAATAAAGTGGTCTTAAAGGCTGGGTTGATCCCTGGGAGGCATCCAGGCAGGGAGCTGGCCTCAGCCAGCAAGGGGCAGGTGCGCAGGCAGGTGGGCAGGTGGCAGCAGGGCAAGCCACCTTGCAATGAAGGCCTCGGTGAGGGTTGGACACCCCTGCCTGCGTCCTCCCAGGAGCTAGCAGCGGGGAGGAGAAGGCGGTCGGGTCACTAGCATGGCCGTGTGGTGGGCACTGAGAGCGCTGATCCTCTGCATAAATCCCCAGGTAGCTTCACAGTCCCCCCGAGAAGGAGGCATTGATGTCTGCGTTTCAGTGAGGAGGCCGAGGCTCAGGAGGTTGGGGCATGGTCTGGGGGACACGGGTCCTGCTGGCCCTGGGTGCCTCCCTGACCCAACAGCATCTCCCCAGCCTGGGTCTCAGTTGCCTCTTCCGGGACCTGTGCAGTGCGCAGCTTCTGCTGACTGTCGCCATCTCCGTTTCACACAGGCCATGGCGATTACGCCTACCAGCAGTCATCCTACACGGAGCAGAGCTACGACCGGTCATTCGAGGAGTCCACACAGCACTACTACGAGGGGGGTAAGGAGCACAGCCGCGTGCTGAGCTCGAGCGTAAGCGCCACATGCAGCAGAGTTAAGAGGCTGCACCCTTAGGAGCACGCAGTGCCTGTCTTCAGTGAGTCCCTTAAATCCCAGCACAGTGCGTGGGACAGGAGACAGTGTGTTCTGGGAACTGGAGATTCAGGCTGTGTCAGGAGCCCCGCTTGCCTTATGTGTGTGTTCGTGAGACAGGAAAGGATTCAGCCGGCCATGCTGGGGTTGGGGGCACAGACTCTGTTATTGGGTCCGGCAAGGGAGCGTGGGGCCTGCGAGCCACTCTCAGGGCTTCCTCAGCCAGAGGCCAGCAGTGGCTGTGTTGGGTGTGGCCTTGCGTTTCTTCAGACACCTGCAGGCCAGGAAACAACATCTGTGGCTTGGGGCTTGCTGCCCTTCGTGGCAGTCCTGGGCAGTGCTGCGCTGGGGGCCGTGTCTCGGGTGGACTTGCCCCGTTCTGAGGTGTCTGTCCCTCCACCCTGGCTGCCCTGAAACCCCAATAGAACATCCCAGAATGTGGAGTTGGGAAGAGGTACACACAGCCAGTTCCAACCCCACCCCGGGATCAAGGTGGCCCCCAGAGAAGAGTCGATGATCGCCTGTGGGATTGCACAACCTCGTCTGGGAGGGAAGGTGGGCCTGCAGCGCCTGGGGAGAGGTGCCTTGTGTCTGCTGACACTGACCAGCAGGCAGCAGTGGCTGAGGCCTTCCCACTGCAGGGCTGCGATTTAGCAAGAGGTAACAGTGTCAGTGAGGCTTCACCAGGTACACAAAGCAGGCGGGCTCGAAACACTACAGATTTCCTTGTTTGGGTTACTTCTTAAAGAATTAGATGTGTAAAAGTTTTGCTTCTGAGCTTACACATCTCAGCCTGCTGTGAAGAAATAAAGCACACAAGTGTAGGCACATATAGAAACATCACAGTGTGCGCTACGATTGCCTACATTTAAATGTCAGTTATACCTTCATAAACCTGGGGGAAACAAGAAGTACATGAATACATAATGAAAGTTTAAAAGAAGAAAGCCTGGATGCAGTGACTCATGCCTGTAATCCCAGCACTTTGGGAGGCCAAGGCAGGTGGATCACTTGAGGCCAGGAATTTGAGACCAGCCTGACCAACATGGCGAAACCCCATCTCTACTAAAAAATACAAATATTAGCTGGCCGTGTGGCGGTGCACGCCTGTGGTCCCAGTTACTCAGGTGGAGGTGGGAGAATCGCTTAAACCTGGGAGGCAGAGGTTGCAGTGAGCCGAGATCGTGCCACTGCATTCCAGCCTCGCGACAGAATAAGACTCTGTCACCGAAAAAAAAAATTGGCTGGGTGCATTGGCTCACACCTGTAATCCCAGCACTTTGGGAAGCCGAGGTGGGCGGATCACCTGAGGTCAGGAGTTTGAGACCAGCTTGGCCAACACGGTGAAACCCCGTCTCTACTAAAATACAAAAATTAGTTGGACATGGTAGCATGTGCCTGTAATCCCAGCTGCTCGGGAGGCTGAGGCAGAAGAATCACTTAAACCCAGGAGATGTAGGTTGCAGTGAGTCGAGATCACGCCACTGCACTCCAGCCTGGGCAACAAGAGTGAAACTCTGTCTCAAAAAAAATAAAAATAAAAATAAAGAAATGGCCAGGCATGGTAGCTTATGCCTGTAATCCTAGCCCTTTGGGAGGCCAGTGCAGGAAGATTGCTTGAGCTCAGGAGTTTGAGGCCAGCATGGGCAACATGGCAAAACTCTGTCTCTCCCAAAAAAAAAAAAAAAAAAAAAAAAAAAGCCGGGCGTGGTGGTGGGTACCTGTAATCCCAGCTACTCAGGAGGCTGAGGTGGGAGAATCGCTTGAAAGAGGCAGAGGTTGCAGTGAGTTGAGATTGTGCCATAGCACTGCAGCCTAGGTGACCGAGCCAGACCCTGTCTCAAAAAAAAAATGCCAAGAGGCTATCTTCTGGCATATTGGCTGCAGTGGTGCCTCCATAAGCCCTGGGAGCTGGCAGGATCTCTGCCATCATGGGCCTGGCCCTGTCCCTTCCAGCTGGAGCACAGGGTTCAGCCTTGTTCATGGCGAGGCGTCCACATGCATCTGCCCAAGGCTGACACACTTTATCCCAAAAACAAACGTAGTATGTGCTGCTCAGCCTTTTAATGTCTGATGTAGCTTTTTTTTTTTAAAGAGACAGGGTCTTGCCCTGTCACCTAGGCTGAAGTGCAGTGGCGTGATCGTGGCACACTGCAGCCTTGAAATCCCAGGCTCAGGTGATCCTCCTGCTTCAGCCTCTCGAATTGCTGGGAGTACAGGCATGCACCACCAGGCCTGGCTTTTTTTTTTTTTTTTTGTAGACATAAGGTCTCGCCATGTTGCCCAGGCTGGTTTTGAACTCCTGGGCTCAAGTGCCATCTCATCCTCCTGCAGTGGGGGGCTCCAGGTGTGCACCATCGTGCCCGGCTGATACGTACTTCTGCAGCTTGTTGTGGGTTACATACTCTTGCCTTCCATCATTGATGAGAAATTTGCTAAAAAGCTTAGTAACCTCTTAAGACCAGTAAGACAGACGGCATGGTTTCCTCCTTGATTTAGAAGCATTTTATTCCATCTGCTTGTTAACTCGACTCTGACACGAGGAGTACACGTATGTAGGTGACACTTTACCATACAGCAGGTGGTACTATGAAGTCTTGCAGGGCTGAGAGGCCTGGGGGTGCTTTGCTTTGAAGAAACTGGTGGACATGTCATAGCCACCTTCAAACACAATTGTGGCCCATGGTGCAGTGGAGAGGCTGGGGGGGACGTTAGGAGGAATGGGTCAAAGGCACCATAAAGAATTTTCCAGGCTGGGTACAGTGGCTCCCACCTGTGATCCCAGCATCAGGCTGGGTGTGGTGGCTCCCATGTGTGATCCCAGCATTGTGGGGGCCAGGGCAGAGGATCACGTGAGCCTGAGAGGTTGAGACCAGCCTAGGCAACATAGTAAGACCCCCTCTCTACTAAAAATCAAAAACATTAGCCAGGTGTGGTGGCATGTGCCTGTTGTCCCAGCTACTTGGGAGTCTGAGGCAGGAGCATAGCTTGAGCCCGGGAGGTCAAGGCTGCAGTTAACTATGATCACACCACTGCGCTCCAGCCTTGGCAACAGAATAAAAAGAATTTTCCAACTTTGAGTCATCCCACAGCAGGATGAGTGGGACAGGCTGGTGCTGGAATTGTTCCTGGTGATGGCATCAGTTAGGAGCCTGCAGAATCTGATAAAACGAGAGGGTGCTCATGCTCTGGGCACCAGTAATAGGAGGGGACCAGAGTGGGGCCGACCAAACCGGGAGGGGACAGCAGAGGCCACGGGGTCACTCGTGCTGGGCAGGAGCATCGGGATGTGGTGCTCGGTGGGGGAGGGGCCAGGGGAGGGGTGCAAGTGCCACACTTGTATCACAGTGAGGTTTGCAGTGGCTCAGACTGGACAGAGCCCAGCCCCTCGCGACCTGGCATCTGGGCGTCATTGCCGCTAGGAGAGACCGCCCATGAGCTGCAAAAGCCAGGTATGGAGCTAGGTGTGTGGGATGTGCCTCTGTGAAAATGCAGGCAAGATGGGACAGTACCTTTGCACACACGCACACTCACACCATCAGCCAATGGGCAAACACCAACACAACCAACAGAAATGCTTATGGGTAGGAGATGGGGTTCGGGCTCAGGCAGTCCAGAGCAGGGGTGGAAGCGGCCACCTTCCCAGAACCTCTTGAAGGTGTAGGTCTGTCTCTGTTTACCTTTGAATCATGTAGATGTATTGGCAGCTTCAGAAGTTAAATTAAACATCAGTGGGGCTGGGCACAGTGGCTCAGGCCTATCATCTCAGTGCTTTGGGTGGCCGAGGTGGGTGGATCACTTGAGGTCAGGAGTTCAAGACCAGCCTGGCTAACATTGTGAAACCTCGTCTCTACCAAAAATACAAAAATTAGCGGGGCATGGTGGCACATGTCTGTAATTCCAGCTACTTGCGAGGCTGAGGCATGAGAATCACTTGAACCCAGGAGGCAGAGGTTGCAGTGAGCCAAGATGACGCAACTGCACTCTAGCCTGGAGCAGCAGAGCAAGACTCCATCTCAAAAAAGGAACCTCATTGGCTGTCACAGAAACTGAAAGGACCTAACTTTAGGGCTGTCCACACCATCCACGCCTCCTGGAGTCCCGAGCATGGCTGGCGTGTCGTGTGCATTTCTCAGCTCTTGCCAGGTGGTGACCAGCGTGTCCCAGGAGTGGACAACGGGGTGGTGTGGCCGGGGTCTGCGGGACACATCTTCCCCAGGCAGTGCTTGGGCCTCCTCGGCTGCATCCTCGTGTGGATCACTGTGTTTTTATGTGACACAGCTTTGAGCGTCGTTCACTTGTTCCTCGTGGCTGATTGCTCCTTCTGAGCAAGCAGAGGGTGTGCTCTGGCCTCTTGTTTCACAGATGCGCCATGCTGCCCGGCACCTTCTCACAGGCACCCTGCAGAATGCCAGAGGGTTCTTAGAATAGAGAAAGAAAAGAGCCAGGCGCGGTGGCTCACGCCTGTAATCCCAGCACTTTGGGAGGCCGAGGCGGGCAGATCACAAGGTCAGGAGATCGAGACCATCCTGGCTAACACGGTGAACCCTGTCTCTAACTAAAATACATAAAAAGTTAGCCAGGCCTGGTATGTGGCGCCTGCAGTCCCAGCTACTCGGAGACTGAGGCAGAAGAATGGCGTGAACTCCGGAGGCGGAGCTTCGCATTGAACCGAGATCGCTCCACTGCACTCCAGCCTGGGGCGACAGAGCGAGACTCCGTCTCGAAAAAACGAAGGAAAGGAAACCACCACCGGGAGGTAACTTGGGCCACCCCCCCCTTGGTTTTTTTTTTTTTCGGTTGGGGGGGAAAGGGGGGCCCCCCCCCCCCCAATCTTTTGGCCCCCTTTTTCCCCGCCGTTGGCCCCTGGGGGTTTCCCCCCCAACCGGGCCCCCCCCCCTGGCCCACGGATTTTTTTTTTCATGGGAAAACACAATCCCCCTTTGGAAAAAAAAACCAGGCCCCCCGAAAAAGCCTTTTCCCCCTTTTAAAGAAACAGAAGTTTTTTTTTTTGGGGTTGGCCCCCCCCCCTTTTTTTTTCCCCCCCCCCTCTGTTTAAAGAAAAGTTTTTTTTAAAAAAATCCCCCCTCCCAGGCCAGCCCCCTCCACTTTTTCTTTTTCGGGGGGTATCACGGGGGCCCCCCGGGCTTTTTTTTTGGCCTGTGCCCCAGTTTTTTCCAAAAAAACACCTAGAATTTTCCCACTTTGGGAAAAGCAAACCCCCTCCCCCCCTTTGGGGTGGGGGGGGTGAGAAGCCCCCAAAGGGGCCCCCCCCTGGGTTTTTCCCTGGGGTGGTTGGGCCCCTGTGGGGCCCCTTTTGGGTTTTGGGTTTTTTTTTTTCTGAGGGCTGGGCCAAAAAACTCCCATAACCCTGGCTTGCCCCCTTGGCCCCCCCCATAACCTGCTTGGTGGTTGGGGCCAAGGGCCAAAAAGCCCCCCCCTTTGGGCCCCCCCGTTTTGGGTCCCCCTTAACAAAAAACCTTTTGGGACCCCCCTTCCCCTTTTTCTTTTAAAATTTTTTTTTATTTTTTTATTTAAAATTTTTTTTTTTAAAATTTTTTTTATTTTTTTTATATTTAAATTGTTATGAGACCCCCCCGGAGTCCCCTTCTGCGTTTATCCCCCTCTCTCCAGGAGTTTTGGCAAAGAGGTGGGCCCGGGCGATCCCCTTCCCCCCGCCCTTTCCCAAACACTTGCCCAACCGTTCACTTTCCTT